TATCTCCAGGACTCTCCTCAAGTCAACAGTCTGCCTGCTAAGCTGTGTTCATGCCAATGCCGTAGCCACCGAGCACACTCAGTAACTGTGATGTGCCCAACGTCTCAACAACATCGAACCCGCCCAATCTCGGCTCGATAGGACCACCACATGACAACTCATGTGCCAACAAACATACGCCTTCCCTCAAAGTTTATATACTTGGTACTGTTTTAGTGAACTACAAATATGAAGGTATAGAAGGCACGGTTGCCTTAGTTGAGTCAGTATAAGCACTCTTACTATTGATCAGCCTTCTTTCTGCGAGTCTCGGTACAGTTGTGCGGCGTTTATGCGTTCCGTCTGCTTTATCAGCTACGATTTCACGTCCACCGGCTAAGTTCACTAGTCGTTCCAATACGAATCGTCTAGACCACTCTGCGCGTGGAAAACAACGAGTGAGAGTTCGTCCGTTCCGATTAGGACAGTCGAAACCCAACTAGGACGTTTGTAATAGTGGCGACGGGATTTTTCGAACCATGTCAGAAGAGCATGCCGACTTGAAGCAGGGCTTGCAACAACAACAACAACTAAGACCGTACTAATCGAAAAACTTTCTAATACTTCCTTCCACACAGGTTTCATTGGTAATTCCCAATCGATGGACCAGGTCGCTGGCAGCATCTGAGTTCCTTTACGATCCCGGTGCTAACGTGGTGTTTGATTCATGGTACAAACGACTCGAGGACCTGTTTACTGTTGATCTGGTCAACCAGGATAATGGAAAGTAGGTCCGGTTGCTATTGCGCAAACAGCACCATTGAGCACCAACTTTCACCTGCCAAAGAAACCACAAAACGATCCAGACGCTGTCGCAGATATCTGGGGGCAGTCTTCACTGTCCAATACCCGGTTCCAATATCTTCAGCTAGTTAAAGGTGATGCGGACGATTTCATTACATACGCGGGGACCATCAATGGTGAATTTGAGCGCTTTCAACTTGGGTTGCAGACCGAGGATCAGTTCAAGAGTCTCATCTTTGTCGCTAGTCTTCAATCCCCCAAAGATAAGAACATAGGGAAGCGCCTCTTGGTCAGGGTGTAACCAGACAACACGGTTACACTCCAGAAGCTGGACGAGGAGTGCTAGGTGCCGATCAACCCGAAGCACGACACCGCAATGATCCAGAACGCTCCTGCATCTAGTATGGTCTACGCATTCGCAGCATCCAAGCCGCAATCTCACTTACGGCCAACCCAATTCCATCGAACGAAGCCCCCACCCTCTTCTTGTCGATACTATGGTGCTTGACATTTCCACAGAGAATGCACGTTCCGTCAGTACTGATGCCAGTGTTGTGGTCCGGTGGGACACCGAGATGGCTATTGCAGCCCTACGTCAACCAAGGGGTCCCAACCTGACACGATCCGCGTCTTCAGAACAACGAGATACCGAAGCGAAACCAAATGCAGAGACAATCCGCTGGGTAACTCCATGAGCTTGCTAGCCAAATAATAGATCGCTGCCGCCGATCGCAGAAAGTTCGTAGATCAACGGTCAACCGGGATGATTATAGTTAGACACTCCTTCGGACATCACGATTATTGCGGAGGATCTCTGGTTATGCCTTGGCAAGCGACATATCCAAGTGACCTCAAAAACCACCATCAAGTGCCTGTGGTGGTCGAGTGCAACTGATCCAATACGAATCATCTAAGCTACTCTGCGCGTGGTAAACGAGTGAAACAGATCGTCCATTCCCACTAGGACAGTCGAAACCCAACCAGGACGTTTACAACAGTTAAAAAATATAATCGGAAGCAGCGTATTTATCAAGCGCCGCGCTGATGATGCGTACATATTTAGAGGACTCGTCGCCTCTTAAATATTGACCCCACGTGCCCACACTGATAGTATACCAGGTTCGCTACGCTGATTCACTCGCCATCACATGTGCTACAGCACCATGCGCTCGACGTCCATGGGTTATCCTCCATCGGCGTCAGTTGCTAAGGCAACCTGCGTTCCTTTTCGGATGCACTTAGGTAAACGCCCTCGTGATATGATTTCGCCACTCGCGTCGACCCACATCGCTAGCAACAATAAAACCAATAATAGTTCGTAATAAACTCATATTGATCATGCCATTGCAAAGTAACTTCGGCTTTCCCAGGTTCCAATGCCCTGCGCCAAGTAGCCCACAGAGCAGCTGCTTGGGTATCCTCCCCGAATCCGCACGACCGACATGCCCGAGCTACCTCAGATGCCGCAGCAAAAGTATGTAGTCCAATGCATACATACCACTGCAGCGCAACAATTCCGTGTCAGCAACTCGGTCATTGCAACCGATGCGCAGAATCGGACGTATGCACTGTCGATGAAAGCACTTCAGATATCGGATATCCCTCCGGTACACCGTCTGAGTTTCGTTCCCGTAAAGAAGAAGGGACATCACGCTCGAATAGTACACTGACAACTTCGTCCCAACGATCAGCTGTTAATTCTTTCACCCCCGAGTTTCCAGCTAGTCAAATGTAGCACTCGCTTTCGAAACGCGGATGCACAGCTCGCTCGTCATCTGGGAGTCGGTCGAAAGTACCTTCCAGAGCTAGCATAATCTCGGTGCGTTCTCCGAAACGTCGTCACCAATCTGGATTTGTGACAGACCCATGGATTCCATTCCTAGTGAAGGCTGAGAAAGACAAACACTCTTGTTTGTGTTGAGGTTGAGCTCGAAATTTGCTGCTGTCAAAGCGAGAACCGTCGTTATGCGCCGCAACTCCTCCTTGTTGTGTACGAACAACGCGCAGTCGTCCGCAAACAACATACGGATGGTTGTCTCACGCACTAGGGTTCTCGCCTCGGAACGATGTAAGTTCAGCAACCCACGAGTACTACAGTGCTCGAGACGGACACCGTTATCACAAGCATTAAAAGCACACGATGTCATGGCAGAGTCTAAGACACAGTCTGGTTTCACACCATAGACAACAGTGAAGTCATCCGAGGTCTGCTCACACAGCTGTACCGTCGTTTGCATACTGCTCTGCAGGCATTTAATCAAACTTATAAACCTTCCAGGACAACAAAACTTTCCTTAAACCAGCCACAGTGTCTCACGGTGAACCATGTCAAATGCTTTGGTGAAGTCTACAAACAGCGAGTACAATAGCTGCTGTCGCTCTCTGCATTTGTCCAGCAACTGATGAGCCGCGAACATCATATCTATGGTGCTGCGGCCCGGACGGAATCCGCATTGCTGTCCCGCCACGTGTGGCAGTTCAATGACCTGAGTGACAATAGGCTTGAGCAGGATTCAAACGATCATTATGCAAAAACAGCTCAGCAAGTTGATACGGACGCTAATTCGTGGCACATTGCTTGCTCCCTTGTTTCTTGTGCAGTGGTAGCACAAGAGCATCCTACAAGTCAGCAGGCACTTCCCCTTCGAACCACACACGTTTCACCAAGTGGTGCAGCGCATGTATCAACGCAGGTCCGCCGTTTCAACACTTCTGGCGGCATCACGTCGGCTCCGGCGCCCCCCTGTAGCCTCGCAGCTGAGCAAGCGCTCTCTGCGTCTCATCCAGTGTCGACGCATCAGCAAGACCCATCTTCACTTCGTGTTGTTTCAGCTCTTGCAACGTAGCCCAGTCGATCTCTGAACGGCTGTTCAAGAGAGAGTCGAAGTATTTTCGCCAAATCATTATTATGCTAACAGTCTGCACGCAGACAGTACCTGAAGTATGATCCACCAGCGCCCTCAGTGATTGCAAAGTGTGCCTATACCCCGCCTTCAGTATGTCAAAGAATTCCTTACGCTGACGGCGTTCGGCGTAACATTCCATCTGCTCCGTATTCTCCGTCCACTATGCATTCTTGATGCGACGGAGCTCTAGGATCATTCACCATTGAAGTTTGTGCAACTGATTCTCCTTCTCTGAGTCAGCAGGGTCCGCCACATGTGCACTGAACACCGATTCACGACATACCAGCAACACAAATCTACGACATGTTCTACTCGGTCTGCACCAACTTGTGATCAATGCCACATTCAGCTCCATGCAACATATATGTCATGCGTACCTCACGCATGTCAAGCTGGCGTACGATGACAGTTGAGCAGGTGAGCGTGACAACTCTGTGTGCGTCCAGGTAGCAATATCAATCGCACCCAGTGCAAACGGTTGGTTCGTAAACATCAGGCCGTGAGCGGTTCAAAGTGAGAGCAGCCGGTCACCGTTCGCATTGGCTGAGACAATACCAAACGACCCGGTGAACTCCGTCTACACCGCGGCGTCACGCCCAAAGCGCGCGTTGAAATCAACCAATAGGGACATTCGGTCGCTCTTCGGCACAGAGTGTGACACGGAGAACAAATGAGGCTAGAACTGATCCGTCGTGTCGTCAGAATAACACATGATGGGACCATATATGCTAGTGAAAGTGGAAAAATTACAACATTCAGGGCGTGGGCGCATTGTCAGCAATCGTGAGTTGATGCCAGTCGGCTCTGCCATCAGTTCGCTATTTAGGCGGTTGGATAGTGTAAATCCGACCCCACGTTCACGAGATGCCGAGGTGGCGTTGCTCACAGATTAGGATGTGTAACCAGCACAAGCTTCATGCAGCTTGCCTCAATCACCGAACCGTGTCTCAATGAGTGCGGCTATGTCGATCTCAAGCGTGCGAGTTCCATCGCGACCAGTGCGGTGCGTCACTCGGGGCGCTCACTCTTGTTACGGTGGAGAAGTGTGCGCACGTAGTAGCGGCTGATATTGAGCGCTTTGTGCGGAAGTATACGATTGCGTTGGGTAATCGCTTGTGTTGTGACCTAGATTGGAGAAAATAGTGGGTTAGATGAAATGGGGACTTGGAGACAATGGGCGGGGGAAGTAGAAAGAAGGGGGCGTCAGCATTAGCCGGTGCTCGCTCATCCACCCCATTGTATGCAGCAGATAAGGTGCCCTTTTCCTATTACCACTGAACGACGGCCGATGCAACAGATTATATGTACTGGCGTAATTCATGGTTAGTTGTTAGACTGGTATACTGCTACACCTGAGCAGAACAACGCAGGACATCAGCACAAGCCTTCGATAAAATGCACATCTGAAAGGCAGCGAGCTGTGCGCCATGAGTCAGTGAACAGACTCAGGCGAAATTGTGTCCTGACTCTTAGTTACAAGAAGGAGGTAACCTAAGTCCCACCCAGCGGTCGCCACAAGGAGACCTCCAGGACAAGAGTGTACGACACAATATTGGCAGCAGCGGATCGACCGCCTGTCAGGATAGCGCCACCCCAAACGATGGACCCTAGGTCACTTACATAGGCAGATAAAAACTAAGTGCACAGTGTATAAGATGTATTTATAGTTTGGGGTCTAAACTGCTCATCACGTGTAAGCAACTTCACTGGGATTTATCACTAAGCTGCTATAATGTGTGCATTAGGGTAAACTTTCCTTCAAGCGTTACGCAAGCGTTACCACGCAATTAACCAAATGTGCGGAAAACTTAGCTATAAAAAATAAAAAGCCAGGAATGGGACTAGGGGCTCGGTATCTAGAGAAACCCAAGTACCCATACAGATCCCAACCAAGTGCATGAAAATGACGAATTTTTGTACTTCGATAGAAGCGGATTAACTGCCCACGTTACGGGGCATGTAGTAAATGCCAGTTAATACGGAAAAAAATACATCCTCCAATAAAAATAAGAATGCTCATTTCATTTAACGTGTCGTAGATGACGATGTAGCCATCGATACTTGACTGGGGCTTAACGTAACGCAATGGTTTGCGTACCTTCGTGAGCCACCGAGCAACGCGAGGTTGTATTTTCCGGCCCGTAGCCTAAAAGTAATAATCTTGCCATGTAATCTGAGGGCGCGGGTTCGTAGCTACGTAGGGACAGGGCGACGCTCACAGTAGCCTTAGCAAATAGAGTGCAAATAGAGTGGTTACGCGGCAGCGAGGCGTCAGTACTGCGTACTGCTGATGCCTATTCTTCTTTCGTTCTTTCTAGGTACTTTCATAGGCACTGATGGCTAGGAGGCAGATCAACGCAGTTTAATCATTCTCTGCTTTGAAGGTTAGGTAAAGGTCGATGAACAACTTCCTTCAAGAGTTAATCATGGCAGATGACAGTCAACGGAGAACAAGCCAAGTTCACTTGGCGTAGGGCGCGAATGATACCGGTTGCTTCTGATTGTGGGAGCACCACAATTATTTATGGGAATGTTATCATTCACCACGAATTGGACAGTCTTTTCTCAGAAGGGTGCAAACCCATCAAAGCTCAGATGCGGTTGACCATGGTTAAAGGGTGCAATTTCGGTGCCAAAGTTGGGTGCCTAACTTCTAACGTTTAACGATGGGACACTGGAGCTGCTCCCCGTTGGCGTAATAGAGTGATTTCAAAAAATCTCCATTTAACCCGCCGAACTGTGAATCAGACAGCCCTGTCATATGCCAGAGGTAGGATATCTTGAATAAAACTTTTCCCGGAAAAACATGCAGCTTGAGAGGATCAACGAACCACAAGGTAACGTCGCCAGTAATCGTTCTTGGTTTGCTCACTTTTAGGAAAATGTTTACTCTTTGACAGCAAGAGACCACCGCCGATTTCAGCAGCAGCACTAGTAAGGAGACTGTGTCATCACTGTAAAGCCACGTCTACACACGGATGCATCATCTGTTCCTCTATTCCACCTATGATTACCTACGATTACGTGACATTGAAATTTACGTCCACTGATCGTTAAAGGCAATCTGTTGTCTACCTAAGAGCGCAAATAACTAAGGTTGTATGTGATTGACATTCTGTAAATAGGATACTAGATCTACGATCCACACCGTGCTTTGAAGAATCCGGGATCGGCTATTACACCTATCGAGGCATTATGACCCAAAGGAAAAACTACAAAGAGTTAACGCTGAAGGAGAAGATTAATCCGGAGAGCATCAGACAAAGAAAGAGGGAAGAACAGGTTAGTGTTAGAAAGATAACAGTTAGGAACATCTAACAGCATAAGCGTGAGTACTTGAAGCGATAAGGAAAGAGGAGATCTACAGCGAAAGAGGCGGAAACCTTCACACGATGAAGTAAATGAAGCCATGCTGGGCTGGTTCAAAAATATGAGAACAGTTAATGCTCGAATCTCCATTAGAGATTTTGAGGGAGTAGATTTTCAAGAGTTTGTTGAAATGGATGATCACTTGGCAATCTGCACTGAGCCAAACACAGATGACAAGTTCTAAGAGATAGTGACTGCGATACACTCCTACGGGAACAAACAAGAAGCGCCTGTTGATGATGAAGAACTAAGTGAAGATGACATTGGAACCACCGAAACCCTAAAAGACAGATGTCGGGCATCTTTTATCGCAACTGAAATCACCTGCTGTGGAAAATTTCCCAAGCATGCTGAGTAATGTAGCTGGTGCTAAGCGCATTTTTCAGTTACTTTTATGATAAGTGGAACAGACCAATGTTGACATTTTCTTCAAAAAATGGTTTCACATGCGAAATTCCCACTGTGTTCTGATTTATTATAACATTGTATGGTTACACCTCGTCTAATGTGTCCAAAACGGGTTTAGGTGAAATAAATTTCATACTACACTACTCACAACGGGGAAGTAGGTAAGCTAAATTTTGGTATAGAATCTCCGTATGTTGACTACCTCTCTATTTTTACCGCTTCGGTTCAGTCCAGTGGGCGGTCAACTTACGGAGGAACGACTGTAGTTAAGATATGAAAGGGCGAATAGGGTAACCATAAAATGAAGGTGGTAAAATGCCCAAAATGAATGTGATTTGTTCACACGGAAGCTGCCCGGGCGACAACTGGCCATGATAAAGCCAAAACCTTGACGAACTGCTTATGCACACACAACGAGGGGTTATTGAAACGAGTCACGATTGCCTCCGCTAATGTAAGGATTCCGCATCTGATAAGCTTGGAATGAACACCCATCATACAGTAAAATCGGGCGAAAGGCTTTAGTGATTGAATTAGGTGGGCAACTATTGCGGTGGTGAACGCTTTGTTCAATCATCGGCATAATCACGCGGGGTGATGCCAGCGGACGCGTTCAGGCAAACGTCTCGTGGTGTGACCTATGTAACTTGTCCCACAGGAACAGGTGAATGGACCGAAAAACTTTACTGTAAGTTGGACGAGAAATAATGTAAACAAAACTGGGCAAAGAAAAGAGTTATTACATTGTGGTCGGTTAAAGGACAATTGAAGGATTAAGTGGACCCACTAATGTCTGTTCTTGGTCAGTCAACGTCGCGTATTAACAGTTTTATTCAGTAGCTCTGCGGAAGAGTGACGAAAAGTGGTCGAATAATATTGGATACCATCGGTTTTCGCAAGAAACCAGAGATTTGTACAACAATATCGGATACAAGTGCGAATACCTACCGAGGTGCATCTGCGAGAGAATTGCCGGGTAAGTGAAACAAAGAGAGAACCGGAGCACGAAGTGAAGACACTCGTGAGTCCCATAAGGCCACCTGCCTAATTGGGTCACATGGAGACAAGGTGGCTAAACGGAAAGAGGGAGAGGATGCGCCGGGACAAACGGATATATCAGGGTAAGAAGATAGACCACCCAGAGGCCAGGATGAAGATCCGATGGACCAAGAGGCAGATGGCAGAAAGCGGTGGGCATCCCAAATCTGAGTAGACGTGATAGAGAAGACAAACATAATAGTTTCTTTCGACGTCTATTGAATGAGAGCAATCGTCTATGCCAGTGAATCAGTAACGATGGAATGGAATTCAAGCAGCCGGTGCACATACGAGCCGTCAACTCCGCAACGTACATAGCTGAGAAGCAAGAACACCAAAGAGAAAAGTGAGCAAGCGTTTGTAGAATCTGAAGAGCCGCTGGTATGTGATGTAAATGTATGTGATGCAAATGAGGCGGAGCCGCACAACTGCAACTGCTGTCACCACGTGAACACGTGTAAAGGCTGAGACAACTAGATACTATTGCGAACATAAGTTAGAACTCCAGTTCGTGTCACAGTACAAGCAAGCTTATACCCATGGCAGGTTCACAAAAGCAGCGATATAAGACAGAAGCTAGGCCACAAACTCCAAGGATGGATGATAAGTGCACCGGAGAGCCAAATAACGGCGTCTGTGAGAGCGCACACCTAGCCGCACAAACAAAACACATACAATAAGCCGCCAACGCCCATTCACAATCCGAGTGAGTGGGAACTGCGGCTGGCTAGCCGAACAACCTCCTAGTGGTGTCAGCTGAGTGGTTCGGATGTAACCCGTTCCAGCAAACAGTTCGGCGGCAGTGTTCCCGAACGTGGTGGGTTTTCGCTTGGCAAGTGTACTCCCTATAAAAATCCACGAATGTCCGTTTATCAATACTGTGAGATGGCGAATGTGACTCGCCACAAACTAGTCACTGCACCGTGGATATCTGGATAAGTACATCCAATCCACGGACATCAACCGTCTATTCTTACATAGCCGATGCTGTCAAACAGTCACAAACACAATGAAACACTTGCAACTACAAGCTACACCTATGAACAGTTGCACACATATGCACACATTCAGTGTTATGGCAAACATGTTGTATTTGTGTACCTTTTTGATCAAACATTATCATAACATGATCATGCCTGTAAAGGCGTGCATCGCGTTGCCGAGAATAAAAGATTTATTTATTTATTCATCATGCACAGACTGCAAAAAAGAGAGATCTAAGACCTCACTTTAACGACTCCTCCAGTGTCCAAAGAAACCAGTGTTATGTCTGCCGTTACTAATCGCTGTATGGGCCAATCGTGGTCCACGCTTGAGTTGATAGACAGCGTCTGAAACAGAGAATATCAAAAATCATTCTGAAAAAACTACCGAATAGTCGGTGTGCAAATCGGCCACATTTAAAGGATGAAATGATAAAACAGTCGGTACAATAAGGAAACACGTACATATCAGAGTAAAGGACCGGTAAGTACCAGATGGACGGATGTCTGCACATGCAATTAGTCTCAGAAGTCTTGTTCCTTTTTACTCTGTTACTCGTGGATCAAGGGTCACGCCTTCTGGTTAGAGGAGGGCGCACTAAATTGCCAACTGTCCAATAGTAGTAGATGTTAGTCTCTCTCAAAACCTCCCTCACCCGGTCACATGGATGTGAACGACCGGAGTGATGGCCGTATGCTTACATCTGGGTGCAGGTGTATCCGCCAGTCACGTCCATCATGAAAACGCTGGATGGAGGCGGATCATTGAGTTGGAGTCAACCTACGGCACGTCACAGGGCAAGTTCACCGATCGATACATACCGTGTTTCGGGCTAGTTGGAACGAATGCAGGCGTGCAAAATCAAGACAGCAGTGCATCATTACCGGGCTACTGCGGTCTAATTAGGATTGTGCTTGGACAGGCGTAACTGGCCTGAACAACGCGCGTTCAATAATTGCTGCTTAGTCTTATCCCAGCTAACGACAACAGGGTTATGGGCAACGCTCTTGTAGACTGAGAGTTTGTTTCCGACAACTCACCTTAGCAAAAGAGACATTCCTTTCAATTATGCCTTGCACTTATGAAATGTAGCGTTTTAAGAAAGAAGTCTTGAAAAGCTATGCCGTCTAAAGACTACTTGCTGCCGCATAGCCTATTCTTCCGTCACATGCTTGACCGCAATTGCAAGAGACAAGTGGGGTTACGCTGACCAATTTGTATGATCTGAGTAACGAAGTGTGGTGGATTCCACCGTCTCAATTCACATCGCAAGATTAACAAAGAATAACAACAGCAAGACAATGGGCTCAAAGGCAAATAGAATGTAACCCAAACAAAAGCGAGAAGGAGTGCGTTAAATTAGTCGGAATGGAACGAAGCTTAACAAATAGATGCAAGAAACCGGATGCAACAACGCCACTGACTGTTTGACTGCCATGCCTGATATGGTCTGTAACTATCGGTATGGACCATCCCAATGCACCTTTCCACAAAGATGGCACGCACCAGCCTGACCAAGTGTCTCAGTTAACTTTTTCATGCCTCTTTGCCACGTCATGCACTGGGCACCTCGCCGTTTCGCCTAACTTGGTGCAGCCACGGTGTATAATGCACGTCGAGATAGCTGCTCAATGGGCATAAAGAAGACATGGTCTGGTCAGCGTAAGCGATTAGATTTCAGTAAACACTTGAGTGAAGCACCAGAAGGTTTCTTACTAAAAGCTGGCTGATTACCTCACCATTGCTCCCACCACACTTGAGCAATGCTCCGAAAGCACTGGTGCTCAAAGACGGCCAAGGATATAACGTCTTCGCCACGAACTGGCCAGGTCTCTGATTTATACAGTAACACCGGCTTTACTGCAGCGTTATATATATATATATATATATATATATATATATATATATGCATTTCACTGACTGGCTAATATCCTGCCACCTCCATAGATGGTTGAGCCTCTGGAAAGTCACACTTCTTCAGTGATGTGGCTTCTACACCATTTCCCGGCCAAGTTGTCCTCTTGGGCAACATAAATAATCTGAGGGGGCATTCAACATGAGTCTACTCAATTAATTTGTTTCTTGTGTAGGAGCTGAAGCGTCCCGCCTGCACCCCTATGACTTAGTGCGACTGAGGTCCAATAGGCTGAAGGCCACGGGCTATACACGCACACCTACATACCTGCACAAGTGACTGGCGTACGCACGGAACCAATTACTTGAGTAGACTAATGTTGAATGCCCCCTCCGATTATTTCTGTTGCCCAAGCGGATAACTTGGCCGGGAAATGGTATAGAGGTGGCACAGCTACCAAGGTAAGTGAACAGATCCACCAATTCCAGGAGCTGTTCGGTGATAGCTAGAACAGAAGGTGTGTCGGTCCATTCCTGCAGCATTTATTCGCACTTCGAAGGTACAAAGCCCATACCGGTGTGTGCAACGCCACGCGTCAGTCGATCCAGCAGTGTTTGCATAGACACTGCGTCAGACTCAAGAAGAGTTATGTGTTCACCTACTCCAGGTTTGTCAGTTGGTCACTTGGCACAAGTTCCTCTCCATAAGAGCCTGAAAAAACGGAATCATTCATAATGACTTCGGTCACAAAGTTGAAGGGGAAAGGCGAAATTGGACAACCCTGGCAAATCGCATTTGTTGTGGGAACTCAGGAGAGAGTTTCCTGTAGACCCTTACACGGCCTAGGTAATCACGGTATAGGGACTGCATAATGGAAAGAAATTTAGCCGACACGCCCTTCATGGATAGGCAATGCTACAAGCTGGCGCGGTCAATAGAGTCGAAGGCGGCTTTTGAGTCAAGGCAAATCACCGTAGTCAGTCGTCTGTATGTATGTCTCTGCTCTAAAACTTGGCGAAGAGTAAATATGTGGTCGCTACAACCACGACCAGGGCGGAAGCCGGCCTGACTTTCAGTGATCCGGTCCTCGCGGGAACCAGTAAGTCGTCGAAGGAACTTAAGCTAATGCCTCGATGATTTTCGCAGAAAGTACGCAGACCTTTTTGAAGGTGACAGGCGTTAGTCTGAAGGCATTTCTTCAGTGTTCCAGTCCAGTCAAAAAGAGTCACTACCGTCCTTCGGGAAATATGGAGGATGTCAGGTCCAAGAACTTTGTTTCCTTTCAACACGACAATGTAATGTCGAATCTTTTCCGAAGTGGGAGATGTCACGCCTACTCCCCACGTCGGCCCAGGCGATTTAGCGAGCGGCCGTGTAGCAGCAAGCTTGGTGAATTGCTTTTCAAACAATTCCATCCATCGGGCCAGTAAGCGACGTTAAGAATGGATCAACTGTCTCTCTTTCTCAGCTATCGTCTCGCTAATTGATGGCTTTCTCGGACCCGGGTTCTGGATGAGCTGGAATAGCACTCGGCTGTTTTCAATAGCACTGGCTTTCTCCATCTCACGGGTCTTTACCACCCACCAACGTTCCCGGTTGATTCAAAGATTCCTTACCAAACGTCGTTTCAGAGAGTCACGGACACGCTGAATCTCGGTTCCCATCGGAACCTGTTTCCGTACTTCGGTCAAGCTGCTCAGTGATCCATTCACTGTTAAAGCGTCTCAACTTGGGTGCACAGCATGCAACAAAGGTATTCTTCGTGGCACATTTGAGACGATCCCAGTCAACGTCCGACTCACTAACCTCATTCGTCAATGACAACTGATGGGCCATTATGTTTACGAACGTTCAGTTGCAAAGTACCACCTGACCAGGCCTGTAGAAAACCATGTTATGCCTCCTTGATTCGATATTCCGAGAATAAGAAACCTATCATCTCGTTTTGACCATTCGTTGTTGTTCCAGACAGTCGGAGTCCGATTTAACAACAGGCAACCACTATGCTGGCCTGTTGCCAAGGGCACTCGACAGTTTAGCTTCATCCATCATTTCCCAGGTGCTTAACGCGTTTACAATCTCAACCGCAGTGTATGTCGCTGGAATCGATACCAAGGAACGCCGCATGAAAGCTACGGCGCACAGCGATGTGTCTGTGTGAACGATATGGCCGCTTTTGTCACGTACAGACTAACACCCAAAGGCTACCGACCTAGCCGTATAAACTTCGAAATGGCGATGATAGCGGTCGCGGTTCTGGGTTAAAGGTGGTGCATCAGGTAGACTGTTGAATGTGCTAAGGGACTTGTGGTGGCCAAATATAATTGGGATGCTTTGGTGATAATTAATGAGCGTGATCAAACAGATTGGGGTCATGCTACGAAATGATCGTGTGCATACACACGAAGGACGTAAACACAACGCCTGAAGTTTATTCCATAGTGCAGTGTTGACCGAGATTGCGTGCCAGTGAATGACATTTCACAGCTAGCGCACTCACAGGGAGATGTTAATGCGGCATTATAGCGGGGTAAACTGCGTTGCCAAACTTAAGCTGATGACTTCTCAAGTGGGTGTTAGGAATAAATTTCCAGTCTGTACACCGATGAACACGATAAAAAATACGAAACCGCGTAGCCTATTTTCACATCACCATCTCGTTCACATCCTCCCCGTATTCCTTAGGCATAACCATGAAAAACAAGTATTGGCATTGTGAACCAAGTTGCATAGAAGTGGTCAGTCTAAGCGATGGGTAATGGTGCCAATACTTCGTCGGGGTAGAATGAATGCAGATCTGACGTTAACCTCGTGTTTGCCAAGTCATTCAATTATGATTACCGCCATTCCTCTGTCAGTCATGGTTCTCACATGGTGAAAGAACAGCAGCTGGCAAGTAACGTAGGAGGGGCTTAAACTAAAGCCATGCGGTGGTTGGTTGATCAGTGCAATGGTGTCATAAAGTTAACAACTTTGCTCCTGAGTATTCTTTGCAGGACTGCATAGGCAGCAGAGTTATTGTTTATAGGGTAGGAGCTGCTTTAACGATGGAGTGAAGGTGGTTAGCTACAAGATGAAGATTTTTTCACCACCGATTCTCGTTGGCGACTTCGGCACTTCGCTTCAGCCGTTATAGCTTCAATATGGCGCATCTGCCTATTATGTACAAATGATGCGGGATTACCTTAACGAGGTGTTCGGTCACCTTTGGAGCGGTCGCGGAGGTCCAAGCGGTTGGCCTGCCCGGTCACCAGATTTGCACCCCTTACTTTTCTTCCTATGGGGTTATTTGAAATGAAGAGTTTTTCATGGTTATGCCTAAGGAATACGGGGAGCATGTGAACGAGATGGTCTGTCCAGTTCTACCGCAGTCGCCCGGTAATGATGCACTGCTGTCTTGATTTTGCACGCCTGCATTCGTTCCAACTAGCCCGAAACACGGTATGTATCGATCGGTGAACTTGCCCTGTGACGTGCCGTAGGTTGACTCCAACTCAATGATCCGCCTCCATCCAGCGTTTTCATGATGGACGTGACTGGCGGATACACCTGCACCCAGATGTAAGCATACGGCCATCACTCCGGTCGTTCACATCCATGTGACCGGGTGAGGGAGGTTTTGAGAGAGACTAACATCTACTACTATTGGACAGTTGGCAATTTAGTGCGCCCTCCTCTAACCAGAAGGCGTGACCCTTGGTCCACGAGTAACAGAGTAAAAAGGGACAAGACTTCTGCGACTAACTGTAGTTTGCAAGTGACACTAAACTATTGGAGATCAGGAGTAATATGTGATATAACCGAACATGAGTCTTTACCACAAACGACGCTTAGCGCAAAACATGATAAAAGATCTGGTGTCGAGATGTCGCTCGCTTGAGTGTATGTTTCGCATTAATATAGCTGACGATGTAGACTCACAATGGGTGGGCTTATAGTTTATCCGAGAACTGTCTCGTGTAAAATGACTACAGTATGCACATGCGTAGGTAAATAAAATACCGGAATTCATAGAGTTATGGGTGTGTCATCGAACAACTGAGTACGGAGACTATGAAACAAAGAAAAGTAAGTCAGAGCAGACAAGAATCTTACCGGTTCAGAAGAAGTTTCCAGATTCTTTGGAACTGTGACCAACTGCACAGACCCGTCGTCCAAACCTACAGCCGCTTGGAAACAGTCGTGCTCACAATCGCACGGGAGGGTGACAATCGAAGCGACGGATGCCTCGAAGGTTGCAAAAGATGATAACTGAGGTGTCAGATCCAGTGTCTGGTTTGTCAACGGTGAGGCTTCAAGTGCGGCATTGACATGGCAAATACCAAGTCCACCGGTCCAGTAATTGCCTTAGAAACCGGATAAAAATATGACTAAGTGAGGACGCACTCGTGTCCGATATTCAATCCACTGGCAACATATCACAGTGCTATTCTCTCTAAAAACAATAGTGTATCGCATACATATATCAGAGTCACGAGTTCAATTCATGCAAATTGACCAAACCGATAAACGCGACGACGCGAGGATAGTAAATTCGGTAGCCTCAACGTCACCTAATCAAGAATCCATCAATATGCAAGTTATATGAGACATAAAGGCAATATATGAAAGAGGACATTGATCGTAAAAGGGGCATAGTAACAAGCTCATTGGGAAGAGTGGACACAGTCATCACAAAGACAGAGTGCATCCGAGGATGGCCATGCGGGAATAGCCCCAACGGGATAACTACCTAGTGGCGTTGTTTCATTCCTAGCTTAAGCGTTACGTCACGAGGTGCAGTCGCACCGACCTAGTAGCTGTACATTGCACGAAACAAATCATCCGATGTTGGTCATATACTCCTGCGAATATTGGCAGTCGGTTCAGTTTGATGAGTTCCGTTTAGCATCGTTTAGCCATTGAGCCCACATCAGATGAACGACTCGATTTGGGAAGTGAGGGTCTGGAGCTCAATTACATGTCAGTAGTAACAGTAGATCACCAAACAATTGTTGCACCTGCCTGAAGGAATTGATCATTTAGACGAGACACATTTTCAGCAAACAAAAACCAACCACGGGGGATTTCAGCCAGCCAGAATCATGGTTTTCCCCGGTCGTTCCGCACAAGTATGGTAAGCAAATGATGTGCAACGGACGCAAGTAGGTGCACCATCTGTCATCTTTTCAGTGTTAACGTTTTACTTGCATCCCTCGTATTCCAGTAATTGATATCGCAGTGAATTAGGGTCTCCAGTTAGTGACAACCAGACAGCGCATTGTACTCCAAAACCGAAGCACGAAGGGAATAGGCATATAAGTTATCAAGATGGGACGATAAATGTCATGATATCGATCGTGACCATCCACAAATACACGGGGGTATATTTTCCTTTTCATCCGACTGTGTCTGAGATGTCCAACAACCGTGTCAGGTTCCGCGATTCATAGCGTGTTAAAAGATTCGCATATTTGAGGAATATGATGAAGATTAAGTGAAGTAGAAAGTCAACAACATCGCGTCGGGATTCTCGAACACAATAAGGACAGCTGAAATGGCAATTCTGTTGGAGATGAACAAAATGGGATCTGGTTCGAAAGCAGCGAAACAAGCAATGCGCATTCTACAGCCCATAGCAAAACGTATCAACTCCGTGCTGGAACGTTAACTGACTTAAGTTTCATTCCAAAGCAGAAGTGAATTTAAATTTATATATATATATATATATATATATATATATATATATATATATATATATATATAAATCGTTCCACTACCTCTAAGGCTGCGTGTGACGGCCGTCGAGCATATCACAATCTGTATCTGCAATCACATTCCCGAGCTGGATCTGCTCTCCACTGCCTTGTGGGTCAGGCTATTGAGCCAAAGGCTCCGGGCGGAGTCCCTCAAGCAAACCTCCGAAGCAAAACGACCACCTCGCGTGCGATTGCCCACCAATGCAATCGTATGCCTGCGCGCAAAGCACTCAGCATCGGGTGCTGGAACGTGCGCACACTACTGGACCGGAACTCCAGTGAGCGCCCGAGCGACGCACTGCACTGGTCGCGATGGAGCTGGCTCGTTACCACATCGATATTGCGGCGCTCAGTGAAAATCGGCTCGCTGAGCAAGGTAAGTTGCATGAAGCAGGTGCTGGCTACACATTCTACTGGGTGGGAAACGCCGCCTCAGCACCACGTGATCATGGGTCGGATTTGCAATATCCGATCGCATCCATGGCCAGCTGGTGGATGAACCAACAGGCATCAGCGCGCGACTGATGACTGTTCGCCTACGACTCGGGAGAGGTAAGTTTGCCACTGTTATAATCACGTACAGTCGGACCATGTGTTATCCTGATGGCACGCGTGGTCAATTCTACACTCAGCTATCCTCCGTGATACGATATGTGCCGAGGAGCGACCGACTATTTCTGCTGGGTGATTTCATGTCGCACTTATGCCAATTATTGTTGCATCATTATTGAAACGTTTGCTTCGCTGAGTGCGCTTTAACAGACGATAACTATGATAGCAAATCGTGGATACTTTTTCATGACTATGCTCCTGCTCATAACGCTCCGGGCACCCGGAGATTCCTGACCGAGAAAAAATTACTATAATAGAACAGCCCTCATACTCAATTGATATTGCTCTAAGCGACACTGGTATTAAGGAGCATCGTGGAAGAATGCTTCCAGCAGTGCGTCGGAGCGTGGTAAAGAATGAAGGAAACCCGCATTAAACCCGAGGGGATTGTGCTGAAGGTGAAGTTATACAGTTGGTTATCAAAATTTGCAATGAATTTTCATATTACCAGTCTCGTTACTTTTCAGACCCACCTCGTGTTCCACCAGCAGCATCACAATGTAGAGGAGGCAGAACCCGTGTGCAGCAATCACGACTAAACAACAACAAAACGGCACTGTAAAATTCAGCGCCGTGTAATTTCTGTTGCGCCCGCTTGAATTTTTAAAGTATGCTACATGGTTGCTCTGCCGAAAGCGTACACCGAAGAGCTCACGTGCGTTCAATGTGAGATTAATTGACTCGTCCATTAGGCCTTTGCGGAATGCTCACATCGGGGGGCACTGAAGTGTTGGCGAGCTACTCGGATTCTATCAGTAATATAAAATATCTATGCGCTGTTGTTGATGTTCATGCTGAATAAAGTCGCTGTTCCTCTTGAAGCACCGGTACAGTGGTAGCACAAGGGCATCCTTCAGCTCAGGAGGCACCTCATCCTCAATCCATACACGTTGCACCAAGTGGTGCAGCGCAGTCAACAACGCGGGTCCACCGTGTTTCAATACTTCAGGTGGGATCCCGTCACCTCCGGCACACTTCCCGTTTCGCAGCTGAGCAAGTGCTCTCTGCGTCTCATCCAATGTCAACGTGTCCGCTAGACTCGTCTTCACATTGTGCTGCTTGAGGCCGTTCAATGTAGGCCAGTCGATCTCTGAACGGTTGTTTAAGAGACAATCAGTGTTCTTGCCAGAACAGCATTGTCTGCAGTCTGTGTGTAGGTAGCGCCTGAACTACCATCGATCAGCGTCCTCAGCGGCTCCAATCTCGGTCCATACACCGCCTTCAAGGAGTCAAAGAATTCCTTGTGTTGGCGGCGTTCGGCGGACCATTCCATGTGCATTTTTTAATGAGACGCAGCTCTCGGGTCAGTCGCCGTCGAAGTTTGCGAAACTGACTACTCTTCCCCAAGTCACTGGGGTCTGCTACATGTGCAGCAAATGCTGCATTCTTCTCTGACACCAATGCGCCAATCGTCGCATTGTTGTCATCAAACCAATCAGGCCGCTTACAGTTTGCGCGCCCGATGGTCTCCTCCGCAGCAGCTGTCACCTGGTCGCGAATGTGGTGCCACAGGTCGCCCACTGTGGCTATGCAGTCCACATAACACAAGCCTGCAACCATCGCCTTCTCCAGGTCAGTACGTTTCGCCACAGTACCGAGGGAGGGAATGTTAAATTTACGCCGATTCACGGCGGGAGTGCAATACATAGACTTACGAAAATATATGTATAATTTGATGCGTACCAACTTTTGATCAGTGCCACACTCAGCTCCACGCAGTACACGAGTCATGCGCACTTCACGCATATCACGCTGACGTACGATGACATAGTCGAGCAGGTGAGCGTGACCACTCCGTGGGTGCGTCCAAGTTGCTATATAACTCGCACTCAGTGCAAACCGAGTGTTCGTGATCGTCAGGCCGTGAGTGGCACACAGTGAGACCAGCCTGACACCGTTCGCATTCGCTGAACCAATGCCATGCGAACCGATAACATCTGTCCACACCGATGCATCACGCCCAACGCGCGAGATGAAATCACCCAGCAGAAATAGTCGGTCGCTCCTCGGCACAGACCGTATCATGGAGGATAGCTGAGTGTAGAATTGATCACGCGTCTCATCAGGATAACACATGGTCCGACTGTACGTGATTATAACAGTGGCAAACTTACCTCTCCCGAGTCGTAGGCGAACAGTCATCAGTCGCGCGCTGATGCCTGTTAGTTCATCTACCACCTGGCCATGGATGCGATCGGATATTGCAAATCCGACCCATGATCACGTGGTGCTGAGGCGGCGTTTCCCACCCAGTAGAATGTGTAGCCAGCACCTGCTTCATGCAACTTACCTTGCTCAGCGAGCCGATTTTCATTGAGCGCCGCAATATCGATGTGGTAACGAGCCAGCTCCATCGCGACCAGTGCAGTGCATCGCTCGGGGCGCTCATTGGTCCAGCAGTGCGCACGTTCCAGCACCCGATGCTGAGTGCTTTGCGCGCAGGCATACGATTACACTGATGGGTAATCGCACGCGAGGTGGTCGTTGTGCTTCGGAGGTTTGCTTGAGGGACTCCGCCCGGAGCCTTTGGCTCAATAGCCTGACCCACAAGGCAGTGGGGAGCAGATCCAGCTCGGGAATGTGATTGTAGATACAGACTGTGATATGCTCGACGGCCGTCACACGCAGCCTTTGAGGTACCGGAATGAGTTATATATGTTTTGCGACCGCAGTGGGATACACCTGCGACCACGGCCAGATGCAGGTGGGTTTTGGCGGGTTTTCACCAATTTGAACAGGGGCTGCCTGGCTTGAGGCGGGCAGTAGCAAACCATTGAACACCCGGAGGTGCCCTCCCACCATCAGTGACAATGGGTAGCGCTCTTGCTCTGCGCCAATAGAGCTGTGAGCTGATAACCCGTAGACTTGTTGTCTCCCATGGCTAGGTTTTGCGGGAAGTGGGCCATCGACCATTTCCTAATCTACGAAGAGGATGGGCTAGGAGATTGGCAGTGCGCTAACACCTGACAGGAGAACGACTCGAGTCCTCAGCCAAAACCTTCGATTAAATGTACACCCGAAAGGCAGCGGGTCAAGCGCATGGCAGTTCACTGACTCATGCGGATTGGTGTCCTGGATCTCAGCAGGGAGAAGTGCGAAACAAAACTCCCACCCAGCGGTTGCAATGAGGAGGCGTCGAGGACATGAGCCAGTGGCGCAACAGCAGCAGTGGGTAGACCATCTGTCAGGATCTAGCCACAACCAGCGTCAGCGCACCATAGGCTCTCCCGCTATGTGCACACACGCGCACATATATATATGATTTGGCGGCGTCCGTATCCGGATTTGCCTGTCACTGTGGCGTCCATGGGGACAGTTACAGGACGCCTGCGCCTACAGAGGGACCATGGGTGGCTTGCGCTGCACCACCCATAGTTCCATCCACACACCCCATATCCGGTGTAAACCCGAAGGAATAAGACCGGGAGGCATGCGGATGGGAGCCACGTTTCATCAACGGAGCCGGCCCACACTCCTTCAACAAGCAGAACGGAAGCATTCCGGCCTAATTGGGAAATCATACACACCAGACGTACACGAGGCGGTGGCTGGACCGTAGCCCGTTCCACACAGGATGGAACCATTCTTTGAGCCTAGCACCGTCACGAGGACAGTGCACTCCGTCCCCTCCAGCGACGACCAACTGTCTACTGGAGCCAGTATGGACGAGGTAGTGGGTAATAGACAGGTAGGCACCTTGTCAACATTCACATCAGGCGTATCCACACAGGGGAGCTCAAGGAACATTTACTTCTGAAATGCAAGATTACTCATCTCGCAGGCAAACGTACCACATACGCCGCCTTATTGGCCTGGATTAGTAAATTGAATGGGAACATACTCATGGTGTTTCTATTCCGCATACAATTGTGCCTTCTCCGGCACCTAAGAAACCGCCCTTTTGGGTAGTTCACGGAATTCGCATCGATCAAATTTGCCTTGGATTCGCAACACCTGAAATCAACATGAGATTGTCATAAACTCACCTTCTTCATGTTCTGGTAATATTATTTTCGGTTTGCTCGAATGTCGTTCTACTGCACCAAGTTAACCGTACAAAAGCGGTATGAACATCCTCGTGGAATTCATTCGGTATACATATATACATAGATTGGCGTCATCTGTGTCCAATGGCAGTTCGAACGCGACATATGTACATGCGTTTCTCCAAACTTAAGTGTGAGCTGTCCCAAACTGGATAGAGACACATTAAACATCATCATCAATGGTACGACAAACGTGTATGGGTTTCGTTTGGAGGTCAGGCTAACAACCACTTTTGCAGGTATGAGAATAACTACCCCATACGAACTGTTGATGTTTTCTTCTATATTTAGACGTGACTGCCTTAAATCTTGGGCATCCATATTTGAAGGGATCCGATGTGGCAATAGTAAAGCAACTGCTAGGTAGAATGATGACTAGACTATTGGTACAGTGAAATAGTGTGCACTCAGGTGTTGCCCTCTACATGTACAGTCTGGTTTGAGAAACTGATGTGGGAGATCACACAGCATGCGAATGCGATACAGTGTCCACTTCTGGCTCTCTGTGTCTCCGACCGGTTCTGTCATGTGCTGCCCGAGGCATGTGCGCCTACTCAAAGAACGATTGATGCGCAACCTTTGGTATTGACAAGTGACATCAAGTAAGTCCCGCTGCTCACTGTCAAACATGCGACTTTCCAAACAGTGTTCACATTTATTGTGCAAATGTCCAAGTACTCAACCGGTTATACCTACCGACCTGTACTCTACTGTGGCCATAAGCTATTTGCTAACGGTCTATATCATACGTTCCAGGTGCAGCCCATTCGGTACTCATAAAACCATTGTCCCTATGCACCGATTCATTTCCGATGTTATATAATAACACACTGACGTACCATTCCCGTTAGATGCAACCTTTTACTTAATCCATTCAAATGATTGGCCATATGCAATGCAACTTCTGGTAGGCGTCTCTGCACGTCTGCCTTCCATCCGGTTAATACGTGTGTTTTCATGGGCCCCCGGTAAATTCAGTATGGCTGAGGGATAACTGGAACTATAACTATACTCACTCTCTTCACTAGCCTGCGGAGTGGAACATGGAATGGCAATATCGTGATAATCGCTAGTCGGTTAATTGTCGGGATTGTTCACTTGACACAGATTTTCCAGGGAAATTTCTCTTCGAATGCATAATCCAAAGTTGTCACACGAAGGACAATCGTTGCGCATTGTGTTACAAATGTCAAATTTGACATTTTATGCGTACTGTAAACGGCCAAGCGATGATAACCTTTTGATTCAAACGTATCCAACGAACTGGAAACATACACAATAATTTGCCACCCTAGCATTGATCCGTAGCAAGCACACAAATCGCTCGGAAATACCGCACTCACATCAATTACGAATGAGCTCATGGATGGACTGAACCATTATTCTGCGACGCACCGGCTCTCTAAGCATCATGCAAGTTAGCATTGAGCAGCTAGTCAAGCTACAGTTATGGTTAGCAATACCATGGACCAGACATAGTGATATGAATCACGGTCGAATAATAATACGAAAATGAAGATGTCATAGCTCACTCTCGGTATGTAACCATACTAGACGCCGCTTGAGGAGGTAGCAAGAATAGCATAGCATAGATCATGATGAGTACAATATCGTAGTGAGCAACATGTGAAGTCATCGCGAAA